GTAAGTGTTTTTGTCTAATTGGTAGGGAACATGCTTTGTGACGTGAGCCGAAATACGTGAAACGGGATTGTTAATAAACAGTCAGAAAACGGCAGTTGACAAGGTTACAACGAGGTGTGTATGCGAACACGTTTATTTCGCGAATGGAAATCAGTAAGACATGCGAATAGTGAACATAAATGGAGGTCATCCTAAACTAAATTCTTTAGACAATACAATGTATATAAACATTGTGTGAAATTATGGAAAATCATAAATCATGGCAAACATTGTTCATAAATTAAGTTTATCTCAATCACCCTCACGGGAACAAACTAATCAACGATGATTACTCTCTCCGAGTTGTAGAATTATGAGGAGCTGAAACGTATGACAATAATACAATTTTGATCCAACCAACCGGGTGACTCCCGTAAAACGTTAGGTGCTAATTCCAGGAACTCGCCATCCAAATACAAAAGCACTTACTTATGATCAAAGTATGAGGACCCGAAAATAACTACCTAGTTTACTTGAAGCTGTGACGCCGAGTCTCCATAATGCCCAAACTAACGCTATCGAGAAGTTTAAAAAACATCCCTACATCAGGACATCAGGACAAAGAAACAAGTCATTTTAAGCTAGTTCATAAATCTATCATGCATAGGAATATATCTCGTAAGCCTTAACTCCCTCCAGTGACGCAACCCATATTTCAAGAGCTACAGAGCATATTACTTGAAATGCGCTGCCAGATACACAAGTGGCTCATACCGCAGCCATATTCTGATAACACCGCACCAGTCAGCCTGTGAAATACTTAGTATTTATGATTCGAGACTGCACTCTCCTAATGTATTCATATATTTGAAGATTTAGCCCTCACAAATACTCTGTCCGTTCTCCATTCATACCTTAATATCGATGTGTGTGAAAAGTGGAGTGAGCTCCTCTAATTTCCACGACAACCCCTGGAACTAAATATAAGACAGATGATGATAAAGAGCCTATGACATCATCAGATAAAATACTTGAATTCAATGATTGCTTGTTTTGAACGACGAAATGACTCGTGGTAAGGGAACTCAACAAACTGATTTAGATTGGATATAGCCTACCACAGAAAATATTCAGTAGTTCGTGGAACTAATATGAATAATCCAAGAGACAAAAATAGAAACAACAACTTATTTAGAGCGCAGTAAAAGTAAAGTAAGTAGTGGTATAGAGACAAAATAAAAACGGTTTGTATCAAAAGATTTTGCTGAACACAGTCTAACACAGGCTAAATAAAATATTATTTAAGTATAACTCCTACACAATCAGGCAACATTGATTCCCAACGTCGAGTCATACCCTGTTAGATAGAATAGATTTAATTAACTGTGAGTAAGGAAGGTAGACGTTTTGATCTCGTGAGAGCAGTATATTTCTGAGCATTTCATCTTGGAATAGCCTCATAAGAAACATCTTACTTACTTACTTACGCCTGTTACTCCCAATGGAGCATAGGCAACCGACCAGCATTCTCCAACCCAATCTGTCCTGGGCCTTCTTTTCTAGTTCCATCCAATTCTTGTTCATTTCTCTCATGTCTATTTCCATTTCTCGGCGTAATGTGTTCTTTGGTCTTCCTCTCCTCCTTTGACCTTCAGGATTCCATGTGAGGGCTTGTCTTGCGATACAGTTGAGTGCTTTCCTCAATGAGTGTCCTATCCACTTCCAGCGCTTCTTCCTGATTTCTTCCTCCACTGGGATCTGGTTTGTTCTCTCCCACAGTACGTTGTTGCTAATAGTGTCCGGCCAACGGATCTGAAGTATTTTGCGTAGACAACTGTTAATAAACACCTGTATTTTCTGGATGATGGCTTTCGTGGTTCTCCAGGTTTCTACCCCATATAGTAGAACTGTCTTGACATTTGTATTGAAAATCCTGACCTTGATGTTGGTTGACAGTTGTTTTGAGTTCCAGATGTTCCTCAGTTGTAAATATGCTGCTCTTGCTTTGCCGATCCGTGCCTTCACATCTGTATCAGATCCACCCTGTTCACCAGTGATGCTGCCCAAATATGTAAAGGTTTTTACATCTTCCAAATCTTCTCCGTCAGTTGTGATTGGATTGTTGCATGCTGTGTTGAATCGGAGAATCCTGCTTTTCCCTTTGTGTATATTGAGACCTATTGCTGCTGAGGCTGCTGCCACACTGTTCGTCTTCTCCTGCATTTGTTGTCGCGTTTGGGATAGAAGGGCCAGATCATCTGCGACGTCCAGATCGTCCAACTGCATCCTAGATGTCCATTGTATCCTGTGCTTCCCTTCAGACGTTGACGTCTTCATGATCCAGTCGATCATCAGGAGAAAGGGAAAGGGTGAGAGTAAGCAAATGCCTTTTCGTAGTCAATGAAGTTGATGTAGAGTGATGAATTCCATTCAATTGATTGTTCCACAATGATCCGTAGAGTTGCGATTTGGTCTGTACACGATCTATCCTTACGGAATCCTGCCTGTTGGTCACGAAGTTGGGCGTCTACGCAGTCCTTCATCCTGTTTAACAATACCCTGTTGAAGACTTTTCCCGGTATTGAGAGAAGAGTGATGCCCCTGTAGTTATCACAGTTGCTGAGATCGCCTTTCTTCGGTATTTTGATCAGAAGTCCTTCTTTCCAGTCTTTTGGTACTTGTTCCTCATCCCAAATCTTATTGAAGAGAATGTGGAGTATCCTTGCAGTTGCCGCTACGTCTGCTTTTAGTGCCTCTGCTGGATGTTGTCCGGTCCTGCTGCTTTGCCACTCTTGATTTGTCTGATGGCCATGCTGATTTCTTCAATTGTTGGTGGGCCAACATTGATTGGGAGGTCCGTGGGTGCTGCTTCGATGTTGGGTGGGTTCAGTGGAGCTGGTCGATTCAAGAGTTCTTTGAAGTGTTCTACCCACCTGTTTTGTTGCTCTTCAATGTTGGTGATTACCTCGCCTTCCTTGCTTTTCACTGGTCGTTCTGGTTTGCGGCGATTTCCAGAGAGTTTCTTTGTCGTGTCATACAATTGTCTCATGTTTCCTTCTCTTGCAGCCTTTTCCGCCGTCGTTGCTAAATCTTCCACATATTTACGTTTGTCGGTTCTGATGCTCCTCTTCACTTGTTTGTTTACTTCTGTGTATTCAGCTTGTGCCTTGGCTTTTTCTGCTCTTGTTCGACTGGTATTGATTGCTGCCTTCTTGTTCCTCCTTTCTTGAATCTTATCCAGTGTATCAACAGTGATCCATTCCTTGTGATGGTGCTTCTTGTGACCCAGGACCTCATGACATGTTGAAGTGATTGCCTCTTTGATCCCCTTCCAGTTGCTCTCCACAGTAGTTCCTTCTCCATTGAGTAGATCATGAAAGGCCTGGAACTTGTTGAGTTTGTTAGTATCCTGAAGAAAGGCCGTATTGAACTTTTGTGATATTGTCCGCCCCGTTGTCCAGTGCTTCTTGAGTTTCAATTTCATCTTGGCGACCAGCAAGTGATGATCTGATGCTATATCAGCTCCTCTCTTGGTTCTCACGTCCTCTATAGTCCTCCTGAACGTTTTGTTGATGCAAATATGGTCGATTTGGTTTTGTGTAGAGTGATCCGGTGAAGTCCATGTGGTTTTGTGTATGCGTTTATGTGGGAATATGGTGCCGCCTATGACCAGCTTATTGAAGGCACATAGATTTGCAAATCTCTCACCATTTTCGTTCTTTTCTCCCAGTCCGTGTCGTCCCATGATGTCTTCATATCCAGTGTTGTCCGTTCCAACCTTGGCGTTGAAATCTCCCATCAGAATGGTCAGGTCCTTTGTTGGGCACTTCTCGACGATTGACTGCAGCCTATTGTAGAATTGATCTTTAGCGTCTTCATTGTAGTCGTTGGTAGGCGCATAGCATTGGATGATGTTCATTGAAATGCCCTCTTTCTTTGTTTTGAACGAGGCTTTGATGATCCTTGGTCCATGAGATTCCCATCCTATAAGTGCATTTTGCGCTTGTTTGGACAGCATCAATGCAACTCCTTGTGTATGTGGTGCATTTTCTTCTTCATGGCCGGAGTATAACAGGAGCTCTCCTGTAGTTAGTCGTTGTTGTCCAACTTGTGTCCAATGTGTTTCACTGATCCCAAGTACCTCTAGGTTGTATCTTCTCATTTCTGCAGCAATTTGGAAGGCTCTCCCGGTGTCCCACATTGTACGAACATTCCATGTACCTAAATAAATGGTCGCTCTGGTTGTCAGAAGGGGCATCGGCCTCGTAACTTCCGAAGGAATTCGGCTTTCATCATGAGGCGTCATAATTCTTCTAAATGAAGACCTTCTGACTCCCAGGGCAGAGTTTAAAAGGTTTGAATAATTTTTTCTGGTTAGCGTTTTTTTAGCGAGTTAGTTTTCTACGGGATGGGGACGCTAACCCCATGCCCAACCTTCCTCCTTTATCCGAGCGTGAGACCGGCAGTAGCCCCTAGAGGGACTCCAGGCGGAGTTAAGAAACATCTTGTTTAAGTATAAATCTTCTGTACATCACTTATATTTTTGAGGACCGCATTGATGCGACTGAATGGGTGAGAAGATTAGGGTATGCAATTACGAACAAAACTCTCGATTGACCACAAACATTGAGGTGACGATGATCAACGAACTGCTGATAAGTTTCTTCGTTAAGATAACGATTTTTAAGTTAATCCATTAGTTTCAGTATTTATCGTTACTTTGCGTTCTGTGGTGCCGTTTTAATAATTACTTTTACCGGAAAATCTTTAAACGATCAAAAATAGCTTACCATGGCACCAAACTAAGAACTATAAAAAAATCCATGAAAAAGCTAATTGGTTTTTTCATTGTGAATGTATTTTAAAAAATTGTAGTGAGGACAAGAATATAAAATAATAAATAATAGACTCCATGATTATCTGCATAATTATGTGATGTTATTCATATTTCTGGGAACGATCATATCCAACCTTAAAACTAGTTTTCTTTTATTGTTTTGTTTCAATGAACTTTATGGTTCAGCGCTCACTCAACTGTTTTTGTTGTTAATACATTTATTGTTCAGATGGCAACTCTTGTTGATGCAATACAGAGGAAACAGGAAAAGTTGACAGAAAGTCACATTTTAGTTGGTCACATCCAAAAGACATGTAATCGTGACGGATCGAATATTCTATTTCCTACTCGGACATTAACAATGGACTCTCAAGATATAAAGAGCATTGGTTGCAAGGATGAATTGCTAAAAGCAGCTGAACATGTTAGAGAGTTAGATTTGGCTTGTAATCGGCTGTCTTCATTTGAAGAGGTGTGTGTTTCTATTCGCTGAATAATTATAGTTTGGTATCCAGCCAAAGTTTAGACGATTTTTTCATTGATAAGTCCAAATTTCAATAAATAATAGTGGCTTTATCGTATTAATCGAGGCGCTAGTTGTGTATGTATAGTCCTATCCGGTTTCCGGAAAGCTTTTTGTCTTGAAATGTATTACTAGGCTAACAGTTATGGGGCTCATCAGTCATAAACACGTGTGTTGACTGTTGTAACAGTTTTCTTAATTTGTGTGTTGTAATAAAAAAGTAGGACCAACCACCTCAATAGGACAAAACAGTAACTATAACTGGAGTGGGGGATCATTATTATTATTAAATAATGTTAGAAAAGTTAACTTAGATGACATAAGATACTTTACCAATATTATAGCATAAAATAGTTCCCTTTGAGATCATTCCAAAGATTTTGAGCCTAATTAATTATGATCGGCATCAATAATGTTTGGCAGTATCGGCTCGCTTTATCTGTCAGTGATTTCTACTAAGACTATGTAGTCTGCATCAGTCCTATAAGTCCAGTTCAAAAGTAGTTCGTTCAGCACAACCTATTTGTTTTCTTTGTCGGACCAGTCATCTTATATAGTATCAGTGTGATTACAGGGAAACCTAACTATTGCTAGAACTACGAAACTATTGTGATCACCTAAATTGGTTATGAGCATTTTAAAATCAGTAAGTGCGATTTATAATGATCTGTTATACTTAGTATTAATAATGATTATACTGTACTCTGAACAGAGATTTATCTCATGTATTTTTAGACTTAATGGAGAAGATCAGTATGTGTCTATTCCGGTCTTTGACCTCAACGTGAAATGCAATTATATAGGATAGTAAATATATATTTTGGCTTTTTCTGCTACATAGTATTATAAGTTCGTTTGAAGCCGAGGTTAATATTACTGACTGATCACAAGCTAATGTTTGTTGCATTTGGTTTCAAAGCCAGCTTACAAAAACTTACAGCAAATCAATCTCAAAGGTAGGCACTTATTGTAAGTTTGGGGTTGAATATCGCTTCATTGAAGTTTTTAGTGGGCAGATATGCTGTCTAAACTGATAAACATCTAACTCAACGCAAAAATCAGTTTCTAATTTTTTTTACTAAATACTATGGGGTTTGTCTTTTAATAATAAGGAAATGACCGGATGTTTCACTTAATCTAGCTTTAAGGTTGCAGACCAACTGTTCGCTGTTTAGATAATTATTATTTAACTAATTAACTCACTCAGCTTCTTATTAATTAGTAAATATATGGCAGCACTGTAATACGAAAGTACCCATACAATATTTGTTTTTGATTAATATTTCGTGATGTTTATATGTTTCTTGTTTTATCTTTTTAGGTATTTAAAATTCTATGTTGGCTTGAGAAACTTGAATCATTAAATTTAAGTCAAAACCCACTAGGTTGTCATATCTCTGATAACCAATCTTCCAATTCATCTTTTGATGAAGATACTATTGGTTTATTATCTACTGAAGGAGAAGAAAACATTCAACCTATGAATAGCTCTGAATTATCTATACAGGATCAAAATTATTTTTATTTTAACAAACTGTCATCTTCATCCAAGTCGAATAAAATACTTCAGTCTAAACATAATGAAATTGATTTCTCACCAATTTTTCACAATGAATCCATGAATGATTCAATAGAAAAAATTAAGTCGACTAACCATCCAAATGATGGTCTTGGTAGTAATGGTAATCTCAAACAAACAAGAGGAAATGAACCATCTAACATGAAAACGCTACCAAAGGTAAGTGTTCTACCAAATATAAACCGTTAGACGGAATTTTTTTCATTTATATACTGAATTGGTTAGTTATGGAGATCAGTTCAATTTTGAGACGACTTTCTTCATTGATTAATCTAAATTGGGGAATTTTTGAAGCCACCTAGCGCTGGATAGTCATCCCCTTCCATTTTTAGACTCCTCAGAAGTGTATATTTACAATCCCGACAGGAATCATATCGTTTAGGAAATTGAGTCGTGATCAAATGTTTTAAATTTCAAAATTTATTTTCAAACTAGAACAAAACATTTGTCCAGCGTCTTTTGGTTTTCGATCGTTACCCAGTTGAGATTGACCCGTGATGAAAATTAATTCGGAATCATTTATTTATTCATTCAGCTATCGTAATGTTTATTCGATGGGCTTGATCCGTCTGAAGATAATTTCCGTATTATTTTGGTACTTAATCAAGAACATCGATAACAAGTTCTTCTGATACATTTGTATAATTTACTGAGACGACCCCAATCAGGACTAATGTTATAAAATTAGAACTCAGTATACATGTCACCAAGTCACTGTGTTTGATCATATTACTCGAAATGTTTTGTATATTACGCAGTGCTGACAAACTTCTAAAACCTGTTAAAATGAATGCTTCAATCATTCAAATCAAGCACAGTGTCTATCATAAAAAAAAGCTAGACAATCTGATTCCGGTTCCCGAAAACAGTTGTAGGTATTACGTACGAGTGAAAAATATCAAAGCAACTGTATAGTTTCGCTCTAGACTTTAATATCGTTTAAAGTAAAATCATTTCAGAATCGGGACCTCCTTGTGAATTAGCATATTTCATATTAGGCTTGAAATTCGTTTCTGCGTTAATGCATAATTGTGAAACAACCTGGTCTATCATCATAGAGTATAGATAAGATAACAGTGTCCAAACATAAGTTTCTTCTAATTATTGCTAGAGTATGAGAGGAATATCACTTAAGAAATGGTTTTACTTGCTGTAGGGTACTAAGTTTAGGTGGTATGTTATTGAAACCTTGAACTTGGAACGGTCGGAAGATGTTGTCCCTATGCTCAACCACCTACTTCTGAATACTGTGACGGTCAGCATAGAAAGTTGTAGGATTCCTTGATGGAGTCTTCGTGATAACTGTAAACAACGGTTTGTAAACTACGCTATATGGCTGAAATCAATTGTAGGGGTGTAGATTTTATTTATTTCCTGTCTTAAGTTGAGTTTCCAGTACTAAGTTCTATATTTTCGTTTCTTATATTTTCATTTGGTCTTTTAAATTGTGGTTGCTGTTAGTGTTTTTACTTTTGTGGCAATGCCTAAACTGATGAAGTATTTGAACGTGTCGATCGCTTCACTTGGAAGTCTCATCAACCCTGGACGAATGGTGTCTGATAAAGCCTCAATTGGCGTTTATCAACTTGCGTCACTAGTGACGTAGGTGAGATATTCGGTTGTCAACCAAAGGGTCGAATATACCATGCGGTATTTCGCTCTGTTCTACTTTACGGTTGTGAAGTTTGGGTTTTAAAAATAACAGATATTCGTACGGTACAAATAATTTTACAACTTTACATTTGGATTCAATTTCCCTCACCACCATCATACCCATCATATATTCTTTCACTTTAAAACGACCCAGAAATTAAATATCTTTCAAAAGTACAAGTCGACAAACAAATGAAATTATTCATAGTTAAGTTCTATCTTTATTTCAGTCAAATCGCAATGTGTTTTTTTTCGTGAATAAAAAGTACATTTTTTTCCTTACCCGAATATTTTCTACACTTTCTTTACGCAAAACTATTATTTTTGTTACTATTCTTCTTCTTCCATTCGCTTTAAAGTTTTGCAAATTTTTGTATATATTACATTCTACTCCTTATTTACAATTAATTTCCAATGCAAATATTACAACAATAATAACAACATGCATATATAAGGAAGATAATTGTATAATCAGGTGATTGGCATGATTTACTTACTCAACCGTATGATTCCATTATGCCGTCATATGACCAGTCAACTTGTATGCATGTGTGTGTGTGCGTTCATATATATATATATATATATATATATATATATATATATATATATATATATATATATATATATATATATATATATAAGTTTTATTCACTGAATCAATTCTCACGTGTTTTGTATATATATAAATCAATTGGCGGAACCTAATATTTGTTTATTTTAAATAACTTCTTTGTCTTCGAGCTGTTATTATATTTGTTCCTTTACTGAATACTTTAAATTAGTTATACAATAATATTTATTGCTTTCTTTTGATCTGATCAAAGTGTTTTTTAATGTAAGATTGAAACTAGTTGTTTTACGAGTTCGATTTGTTTAAATATTAAGATATAATATCCATTAAATAATAAATGAACTGATGATAAGGAGTGAAGTATTTGAACGTGTCGATCACTTCACTTGGAAGTTATAAAAGGTTGGAAGAGAATTAGGGATGGATGAGTCAAGATTTATTATCGGTCTATGGAGTCATTGACTGTTGATGTGAGTCATATTGGTAGGCACAGATTACATCCGATTAGGATCGATGCAGTAACCTCTATGAGTAGTTGGAAAAGCTAAGTGACATGACTTGTAATTGTTCATATTGACGCGGTTGCATTCACTTTATTTTTCAAAAGCTATTCTGGTATTCATTTTTACATACCACTGCATTACTTCTCGAACCATATCCTCAATGTTTAGTCCTTCTTACAATGATTATTACAACTGCTTTATTACTCATCTTAAGTTCACATTGCTGTCCTTATATGGTGTGGTAACTCGAACTTATCCACATTTGTATCAGGCTCCATATTGATTATAACTGGATAACTGTCCTACAGTTATTGTTTACTCGAAAAGTCTCCCATTAGCTTAACTTCTATGTGTATAGGAAAGTTTTGTTAAACTTAAGAAGGGTGTAAATCATATGGTAGAAAACAGCTAAAATAATTTCAAACTGGTCTAACGGACGAAATGAATGTATTTTGCAAGATTATATATATATATATATATATATATATATATATATATATATATATATATATATATATATATATATATATATATATATATATATATATATAACTAATCTAAGTAAACATAAAGTATACAGCCGAATGACCTCAGAGTTTTAACCGGTTTAAGTTAGTTAGGAGACGACAGAGATCATTGGATAGATTTTCTTGCTAAGAATTCAGATTGTGATACGGATATTAGGATCCTGGCATTATAGCTGATGTCAGTTTGTGATGGAAAACCTAACTCTAACTCCCAATACTCAACACCAAATCCTATCTTTATTTTGATATTTGTGCTATGAACTTTAAAGGTTCTTTTACTCATTGGTTCGGCTGTATACTTCATGTTAACTCTAATCTGCTCCCTATCCTTGTCCTCTGGTTAGACGCTAGGTTAGAAGGGATTCAAGAGTTTATAAGTATTTAGTTGTTATCTGTTGTTCGTTGGTCACTGATCCTCCAGGCAACATGGGCGAACTAATCGATCATCGGACTAGAGAGAGATCATGCAAGTGCTGTCCTGTAATTACAGCCCGATCACACGGACCTCAATATAACTCAAGCATTTACTTTTTTCCGTTTATATGAACAACAATTTGAACTAATCCATTATTGGCCAAGCTTCATGATTATTGTATGATAATCTGGTAATAATGCATTTATCATATATGTATTATCATGTTGCCGTCAACTTAATTTTCTTTATATATAACATTTTCCTATTAAATTTGTAGCATCCTTCAGCTCCATCTGAACTGGCTTTAAATTCCGGTATTATATCTCCTACCACAGTGTTTCCTTGTTTAAGTGTACTAGCATTGAATTCGACGTATGTACCATGGGATTGGGTGATTGATCTGCTTTATCGACTACCAAAGTGAGTTATAACAAAGGGAACTTTTGTCATGAGCAAATATTAAAGACTTCATGAGGTAATCTATTTTTAACTAAGTTATTATTATTAAACTATACAGCTGAAAGTATACCGTGATAGTTATAGTGGAAATATTTCATTTTGTGTGGGGGGAGAGGTTGAGATATGCAATCTGTCGTTTGAATTGATCCTATGTCTGAGTGATGTTGATTTTTGCTCAACAACTCCTGCCCCCACAATCCACACAGATACAATTAAAAAACAAAATAACTGGATCGTTTTCTATGTGACGGGTTCATACATTTATTTACTTGGAAATATACATTGTTAAAATTCATATAATCCAGAAATATTAATGATTTGAATTATTCCATTGTTGATATTCAACACTGAGTTTTCGATCAAGCTTTGTTGAGACATGTGCATTCTCCATGTATTGCATCGGTACAGCTATTTTATCATAAATTTTTAGTAAGGTTGAATAGTAGCTAAGAGAGGAATTTAGGGCGCGTATTTAATCTTATTTGGGACTTATCTGTAGTTATCATTGTGAACATCAACAATGCTGAAATGTAACAGGTATATCCAGATGACAAGTTAAAAATAAAACAAAATATGCCTCTTGAATTCGACTGCTAGCCACAATTCATCTATTTTAGAAAATGATTAAATTTCATTCAAACTACAAATAAGCGTAAAATACAGATTTTATGCAATAATGAAATTAAAAACTGTGTTATAAGGCTCATTTATTGATCACTGCTATCAACGATGTAGCTTAAATGAAATATCATTTTAATTAAGATCACAAACTAATCAATGTTAGATCACCATGTAAAACCTGGAAGCATTGGACTTTCGCAAAATGTTTCTTACTTGACTCAACACATAACTTTCAAATGATTCAGAATTGAAATATCCGTCTGTTTTAGTGTTATGTACCAATTAAGTTTGATATGATCAACTTTTCTCGCACTAAGATGGATTAATAATCACTTGAGAAAGCTTCTAGTCATAGAATTGTTTTCGCCTAAGTTTACTCTTTCTATGTATATATACATATCTTAACAGTGAATATTCGTAAAATTTATTTGTTCAGATAATCTTTCTAAAAACTAGTTTTTGGAAAGTTTAGCATCATTTTAGTGTCCTAGTTAGTGAGTGGTGTGCAAAATCATTCAACATTTCACACACACTATCTAATTGATGGGTGAATTGACCTTATCCGTGTATATCTAGGATGTGAGTATCGTACGTCATACTACTATATATATCACAGCGTAGATAAACATCTCTTTATACTTGGAATTTTCCACTTTACTCCGTAAACACAAAACGTTCTAACAATTTGTGTATCTTACATCATAGACTGACCTTAGATAAATATTCGAAACTAGGAAGGATTGGATAACTGTCTCATCATAGTATGGGGCTCCTCAGTAGTACAAATCCTTTATATGATGTTCCTGTGTTTAATCTTAAGTGCTAATCTTGGGTGTGTACTGCTAAGGAGTTCCATGCTAGGATGAGACAGCTGTTCAGTGCTTCCTAGTTTTCAACAGTTATTTAACTAAGTTTGGTCCGTGTTGTAAACTGCAAAATTCAATAATCTCCAGAAAATCGCCTCCTTCCCCTGTACTAATAAAAATATTTATATTTAATATCCGTATATTTTTAAATCTGTTTTCAGCTTAACCGATTTACACGTTGCACGTAATAATTATGGAGCAGAAGAGCAGACTGAAGTATCTTCTGATCATAATGACGATAATGATGCCACACCATTACCTGTATTTCCTCATTTACACAGTTTATATTATAGCGATAATGGCATATCGAATTGGTGGACAATATGTCGTTTGTGTAAACATTTCCCTGGATTGGAACAATTGATTTTATTAGGTAATCCTATTGAACATATACCATTTCCGCAAGAGAATTTACATACATCTCAGCATACAACAACAACTACTAATAATAATAATAATAATACTGATAATAATACATCAAGAAATACTTGTTATCAGCATCAGTGCTTATTTCAAAATGTACATACATTAGGTTTATCAGAAACACTAATCAATCAATGGGAAAGTATTGATGCTTTGAATGAATGGATGCCTAGTTTAACCAATTTACGATTAGGCAATACTTTACCTGTATTTCAGGTATGTTTTTTGTTGTTATTATCTGTCTGTTCGTTTACTCTTTTTTGGGAAATTATTACTTCATTAATGATTATATCTATTACGAACTAATGCTAGCTGGATAACTTTTAGACATTAAAAGATATTGAGTAGGTGTCACGTTTGCCTAACCATAACTTACCTTGACGGGTGTTATTTACTGATATATATGTAGGTTGAAAAGAGTCTAAATGAGGTAAAATCAAGATGTGACATCAGTTCATAAAGCAATTGATTGTTGAAATGAGTCTTGTTGGTATATGAAGACTGGTTGGGATCTATCCTATTATTGTGATAATCGTAAGAGATGTTGAGTGAGATGATTCGGAATCAGTCTCAATGGTGCACAGATGTATTCACTTTTCCTATGCTTTTAGATCTTAAGTTTTGGAATTTTTTACACATTTTATCCCACGAATTCATTCCATCTCCTCGATTTATATTGTCTATGGCTAATCTAATCTACTCCTATTGATACTATTACCATTACTACTATAGTGAATGAAGATTTGGTATGGAACACCAACTTATTGTTTGATGCAAAATTACAGGGTACTTTCGTAAAATATGAAAACTATGCATTAAATACATTATTTGCACATCTTCCTTCAGTTGTCTCTTACATGCTTTATGATTCTTTCAATTCTGTTGTTATTACAAATACTCTCTGTTAACATTCCTGTTCTCTTCAATTCAATCTAATGGCAGACATTCCACTTCCAATTGCTGCTACATACTACTAATATCTGTCAACATGAATAGCATACACCACATTACCACTGTGGGGTTTATCTTGATTTTTTAGACCATTTTGCTATACTAATGTAATGTAATGACTTGAATTGATACATATATTTGTCATATTCCACATAGTGTTATAATTGATTAACTGACATAAGTACTATACTTCTAAATCGAGTAAATTAAACTGTACCAAGTAGCTAAATAAGTTAATCTAATTTTGTTAGCTTCCAAAAGAAAGAAAAATAAAAAAACTTCCAACCAATCTGAAACAATTGTTTTGTATATTGTATTTCAAATATACCTTATAATATGAACTTTAAATCATAAGTACAAATTAATTCCATTTTATAAATTCATTATATTATTGTTTATATTGTGGTTACTAATGTAATAGGCTTTAATATTATTGTTAATTATTAACAATCCTTTTTTCTTCGTTTAAAATGGGCATCAACAATGTTACATTTAATTCAAGGTCATTCCATTACCCATCATCATCTAAGTAGAAAAATTCACTTGGTATTGTTTTACTTGTATCTTCCCATTGTTATTTAGGACTGCAATTGATCAGTCTCATGTTGGCATATATGTATCCTGTGCGGATTGCCTCGGTATAGCCTTAAGTCACAAACTTTCTAAGCAAAGATGGATAGTGGCTAGCAGTGAAATCCAGGACGCGCGTTCCGTCCTATTTATATCGAGGCAATCCTCACAAGATGCACATATGCCAACATGAGACTGATCAATTGCAGTCCTAAATAACAATGGGAGGATACAAATAAAACAACACAAGCAGGTGGCTATCAGGACTCAGTAACTAAGTGGATAACGCAATAGCGTTTGAAGCGAACGGTACTGGGTTGGAGTCCCGGAGTGAAAATCAATTCTGAGATGCAGCCACATCCAGCTGACGAATCCCGGATAGGATGAAACGCTCATCCTGGATTCCACTACTATCCACTATCTATATTCGTTTGTTTTGTTTGAAAAATACTACTACCAATTATTATTACTATTATCAATATTGAAAAGAAAAGAAAAGGTGAAAGCCCATTAGTCTATTGAAAATAATGAAGACGTTTAAATGGCGAAAATTTTCTCTTCGATAATATCGTTTTTTTGAAAATGTACAATCCTATTTATAGGTAATAGATTTGACTGGGGTACCTAGCCTGTCGTATGCCCTGATGGTGTTCTCGTAACTTTCGGGTTGCCTGATCTGCCAAGAGCGATGGGATAGTGCATGATGCTATTGTTGTGTGCTAGGTTCAAAGAGAACTGTATGTTATTTGCATTCAAATCCGCCCCGTCATTGTTCTTATTTGCCCCCAAATGCCCTGGTACGGCCGAGAGTGGGGAGAGTCCGCTCTCCCTCTCGAAATGCTCTCACATGGCCACGTGTATATAGCCAGAGAATGTCCGGCACTTCAACCGGTTTGGTGGACATGGAGAGTCCACCTAAGGGAGTCGGAAAACCCTGATTCCAAACCAATGGTGCACTTGGGCTCCAATATCCTGAAGCGACAAATGGCGTTGGCCACCAGCTACCATGGGACTGCATCTCCTGACGTTTCTCCACTACCTTGTGGATCAGACCTTCAGGACGAAGGCTACGGGTGTGACCCTCTAAGAGAACCACCTGCTTCGGTTTGGGCACCCGAGTAGTATCACAGCCCTCACACATATCAAATGAGATTTGTGTGGCGCATATGTATTTGGTGCCTCTTTTTACCAATATCTATATGTTAAAATAAATAATAAATAATAGATTTCAAGTATTGAACAAATATGAGTATTGCATCGTTTAGAAAAGTAATCAAAAATCATCAAGAACTCACGCTATGTATAATAGTTTTGGAAGCAATTAAAGGTAATAATCTATAGAATGAAAGTTAAAGATAACTGTATGCTTTATAAAGGGAGAGGAGAAGGTAATAGTTAATATTTATAATTTGTAAAATTCAAGGGGGTGGAAAGACTTGGAGAATAAGGGATCAAATATGACTCTTCTGTACATAGAGGTCAGATTTAAAATGCTGAATTGCCATAGCCTCAGTTGTGTACAAACTCCTCATCCAAACCTTTTTTGAGCTAGTTCTTCTGAATCTGTACAGGATTTTGAATGACGATCCATGTGTTGTAGTGTGACTCAAGTTGATCATGTGTTCAAGAATTCAGCTGTTGATCGATTCTCATTTTTCTCTAGATAGCCATGCACGTTAGTGCTCGGATATTTGTTTACCAAGTTCACACTTTATACGGCCAATATAACCTGCTCCACAAGAGCAAGTAAACTGATAAATGCACATTAAGGTGGTCCTAAGCTGCAGTTTTTCCTCGACACTTCTCTTAAATGAGTTTCTTTCTAAAAAAACCATTTCGGAGCTCTGCTAAATAAAACGTCTTTCTCAGTAATCTAGATAGTTTATTCTCTAATATCTCAGCTACTGTATCTACCTTGAATTCAATGTTCTTCTGGACTGTGGATGTATCTTCAACTTGATGTTTTAGTTTTAGACTACTACTACAATATTGTGTTCATTCACCATTGCTTAATACCTTATACTAACTGCTCATTAATAAACCTTTTCAAAATAGAACAAACTGCCTTGATTAGCCAGTTCGATTTTAGAAATTACACTTATTCATTTGCTTTGTTTGTGGAGTTAGGCACATTAGTTGTTCATGGGAACACTTTTTTCAACAAATTAGTAGAATACATTTACCAATACAGTTCAGTGAAGGATCATGGAACATTATTAAATATTATATTGCACCATATATGGTTGACCATAAATATGTAATATCATACTAGCTATTCGATAGTAGTTAATGATACAAACTAGCCTATTGAAACGTATGTATATACATACACTTCATGATGTATTGAAGAAGCTTTAGATGTGCATAATATAAAGTTTTGATATGGTTTATCTACATTGTATTGTTAATTAATGAAATTCGAAAAGGCTGATCACTTAAATGATGTCAGTTATTCCGAGATTAAGTTCTTTTTGTAAATATTTTCACTGTCTAGGTTTGATTTGTTGAAAAACCATAAATATATTCTACTGAAATAATAATAGGGACAGTTATCTCATGTGTACTATGTTCCTTGTTAATGTTTACAAGTGTAGAAGTAGGTTGAATGAAATTTGACTGTAGTCAAGCTAAAATGTGACATCAGTTCACAAAGTCATTGACTGTTAAGTTGAGTTATGCAAATGGGTACGAACTATCTAGCTGGAATCCTCTCGATTATCATAACCAATGATTGAATACGTTAGGAAATAATGGCTTAGAATAGGTCAAAATAGCACAAATACATTTACTTTAGATTTTTAGCCCTAATATACCTTCATGTATACCCAACGTTTAATCTTATTATTATTTCTATCTCTTTTTCAATATTCACTTTGTTGTTTTCAACTCATTGTGCTAACGTGGTATAGGAAGTGTTATATCCTAACGAAAAATAAAGGAATAATAACTGCTAGGAATTCTTCATGGATTATTATCACATATATTGTTATGAGATAATTATTAAACAACTAGAATATACATATGTTCCTATTCCATTTATTATAAGCTTTTATTTGACCTATTGACTACTATTATACAATTTACTATTCTTAACTTATTCCATATTTATTAGTTACAGTCTCCTATACTTAAACGCACTTTGGGCTTTAGTTTATCTAATAATTATTTTTCATTTTATGGTGGGATGCGGTCTAGTTTACTTGTATATAAGTCATGTATGTCTGAAATAGACGACTTAAACAGTAGAGGCTTGGATTGCGTTCTGAACCGAACGGGTTGGATTAGGCCTAAGAGTTGACTCAAAGCTGTTTGTGCTGGTTAACGCATGATTGGTTTAGCATATGGACAAGGTTATAGAAGTTGGTGTTCTGAACAACGACTTTGTCATCTGATATTTGACGGGTCATAGGACATAACAGGAAGTTTGGCCAATGTACATTTTGTGTTAGACTGTGCATTAATTATAATTAACTAATTGTGTAAGAAATATTTGCATCAACATTTTTTAAATGTTAGAATTTATCTCAAAATCCTTTTTGTTTGAGGTTTTCTTTACAAAATAATTATATATACATTATGTGTATATATCTATATATTTTCAGTCTTGGATAGAACCTGATTGTCGAGCTCATGTAATTGCCAGATTACCAAAACTTACTACATACAATCGAAGTGTCATTGATGCAGAGGAACGTGAAAGTGCTGAACGAGAATTTGTTCGATATTATGGTCAGATTGATCCAGATAAACGTCCTAATCGGTTAGTTATAAAAAGTTGAAAATTAACTCTTATGAGTTAATTAATAAAATTTTATAAGAATCAGGTTAATTTATAAATTGTATTTGTCACAAATAGGGTAACATTAAAAATCTAAAAGCACTGAACAACTATTTCTACATAATATAAGACTAATTACAATTGGTTGATCACTGGGTGGTGATCAATGTCATGCTTGTCTAGTCCTTATTAGTGCAGATCGAATGCTATCGATCATGTTTCAATGTGGCCACCAGTCTAGGTGACTCGACAGGGAGCACCAGTTCCCTCAAGATTACAGGTACACCTTGCTGACGAGTGCCAAGTAGCACGAAACCTGGGTTCAGGGTTTCCTGTTGACTACCTCCAACCACCATCTAATAAGACTAATTATCAGAGTTCACATTTTTGAAAAGTTTTATATTCGCATTGAAACAATTACTAAGTCCTGTTTGATTTTCAATAGTACTCCGATTCAGATTAATTATGTGATCATTTCAACTTGGGAAATAATTCTTATTCGATTATTTGTCAAGAAGAAAAAAAACAAGTATAACTTGCCATTTGATTTATTATTATTAATGGCTTTATTCAATATGACGAAAGCTTTTAAAAGCTTAGATATTTATTGTATACTAACATCAAAAAAGTATTTATATTCTGTTATAGTTTTGGATGTCATTAGTAGTAGGGCGAGACTCTAGTTTATGGACGAACTTCGAACGAATCCTAAGTGACCTTGAGAAATATTAACCAATCAGCAAACAGTCAGTATAGAGTAAAAATATATTATACCAAATCAAGGAAATATAGTGGATACACTTCTTATACGTGGTTCAAAAACTTGTCAAGATGAGAAAGAGGTTCAGAGGTTCTAATATCGTAATGCATGCAGTAGAGGAAATCATCCATACGGCTACAGAATAGTCGGCCTCTGTAGTCATGATAAAGTCTCAAAAACTCTTTCAGCTTCGACCACATAGCTTCAATATTGTTTATGTGCACTCCGGTTGTTGAGTGCACAAAATGCTACTTGTGGATAACGACACGATGCACACAACCAAGCCTATGTAGGAGTCTGTACACTCTCCAGACATCCGTATATATTCTAGTACTTGGCTGCAGCCAATGTTACTGGTGCTTTTATCATGCAGTTCGCAATAATTATCGTAATTTGCCTTAATTACGGATTATATATGGGATTTTCATCGCGAACTGACATCAGCTATAATGCCAGAAATTCATTTAGTCAAATGGATGGAAGGCTTTCGCATTAAAATCCGAGATCTGTTATCTTATACCTGATTGATTCGTCCACAAATTATAGTCTCGCCGTTTTATTTGTTATAGCCACTCAATTATCACGTTTCGTACAAAATTCCCTGTGAACCGATCGTGCGGTAGCATTAAACACTGAAGTTGGCGCCGTAACCTCGAAATCCCTAAAACGCTTCGGATTGGCTCATCCATGAATTAGAGTCTCGCCGTAGGATGTTCACATGACTGATATAGTCGTGAAAATTTTCACTTTTTAGAATTTCTCTTAATTAGAATAAGAAATCAACTGTGGTAGTAGTTTTTTATATTCCATCGTAGTCCAAATCTTCAACTGATAATGTGTACCTACAATAAACATACCTGAACCAGCTTCTTGAGTATGAAAATCAAGAGTGAATGAAGAACTTTTATTGATCAACTGAATCCAGGTATATGCATAAACTTATTCGTAAATATAAATCTGTTCCTTCAAAAAGTAACCAATAACATACACTTATTAGTATTTCTCAATCATCATTTAACCTTGATCTGATATGTATGATTGGCCAAGTGTATCATAGTCACAAGTACTTTTCATTATTTCAATTGTTGAGATCATGAGTCAGTTGAAGCTAGGCCACCATGGGAAACCTGGAAGCACTGGATGGCCATTTCGTCCTATTGTAGGACTCCTCAGCAGTGCGTATCCACGATCCCGCCTCGCGGGATTCGATACCAGTAGGTCTTCAATGGTGACTGAAGATAGATCCTGGGTTCGAATCTCGCGAGGCGGGATCGTAGATGTGCGCCGCTAAGGAGTCCCACAGTAGGACGAAATGGCCATCCAGTGCTTCCAGGTTTTCCATGGTGGTCTAGCTTCAATTGACTCATGATCTCAACAATCGAAATTACTAAAATCCCCACAAAACCCCCTTCTGATACTTTTCATTATGTCTATCTATTTATCTATCTAAAGGTGCATACAATAATACTTAGTAATCCCCTTTGTTTTTGGTGTATAACAACGAAACAGATTTTTGTGAAAGTAGTGGACATGTATAAGTCACCAATATATCTGATGATAGATATCCTCGAAGTATTGCTCCAAGGGATGGTCGAGCTACTAGATGAGTAATGATGATTCTCAAATTGAGGTACAATATATAAATTTATACCAGGTAGTCGCGAAAACACTGCGAGTGAAAAGGAAGCTTTATTGGATAAACCAGATAGATAGATAGATAGATACCAGAAAAATATATATATATATATATATCCCTTAGAAATCTATGCCACACATTCAACCTATGGCGTATATCTCACTCTTTAGAAAAGGAAACCAAATCTCAGTTAATAGCGTGTATCTATCAGTTAACTTATATCTGATTGATGAGACTGTATCAAAATGGCAGGTCGATTGATGGTGTAAATCTTCATCGATTAAATTAATGTTGGGACATGTATTATACATGTCCAACAGTTACTCACATTGGTATTAGGAGTAAATTAAAAATAAACTAAGGTTTAACACATTCAAGGCATGATATTAATCTATGAAATCATTGACTAGTGATTTCATTCATATTTCCAGGTACAAACTTTTCGATTAGACTCCATCTGATGAATGTGGTCAGTTGTGTTCTTAAACTCTTGGTGACATAACACAAAGTCGATTATTAATTTGACACAACTTTCATATAATTTATTTCCTCTTTTCTAACTAATATTTCATACGTCTAGCATTGTTTTTATTTTGTACTATCATAAATATTACTGTTACTGATTTACTACATAAATCTTTTTTAGTTTATTTTTTCTGTTCTAATTTGGTTTGGCGAATTGGGCTAATACATCTTTAGACAACTAATTCACTGAGTGAGAATTATTAACTTATTATGTAAAATATCAGCAACCAATAATTTTCGTATACTTCCTATAATAATAATCATGTGCATTCACCAATAACTAATTTCCAAGAATTCCCGGAGTTCTAGTGAGGAGCGGTGACTAGTAGAGTTCAACTGTATCGAGTGTGTGAGGCAGTTACTCACCGCAAAGAATGAGAGATGGTCACACAATATCCCGGGTTAATCGAAATTAGATATGTAAACAGCAGGATCCCAACTCAGTGGTCTTAAGTTTAAACGCTCTTCATGAAACTCGGAACACCTAGGTTCGATCCCTTAACGGGTCGGGAATACACGTTGCTGAGGAGTCCCGTGTTAGGACGAAACGACCTTAAGTAGTTGTCTAATTAAAATCAACCCACCATGTAAGCGATAAAATTCATCAATCTCTACAAATCCTCTATAGTATATCTTTAAAAAAGTTATTTATTGAAAAAATGTATAACTTCACTCACACTAAAGAATTTATTTAACTACCCAACTTAGATTTTTCTTATTGTTTTCCTTCATTCTATTGTTTTCTCCTTTGCGAATAATTTATAGGTAGTTGATTTAATGATTAATTTAATTTTTCCATAATCTATAACTTAATTTTAGTTATTGGGCTCTAGAACGTCGACATGGTCGACTTCAACCATTAGCTAACATTGATTTATCTCCAAAACAGCACATTCGTGTACGTGTCACAATGTCAGGGAAAGAAGTAAGTATGATTGGGTTATTATCTATTTATTGACTATTTTTTTCAAGTGTTTTTATGGCAAAAATCACAAGATCCACCAATTGGTCTCATGTTTTTATTATTATCGGGTAGTTTAAGTCTTCATCGAATGATACCAAGAGATGATCTATGTTAATCTTTATATTTTATAGTACTGTGAAATACCCAATCTTACTTTGAATATATCAACAGAAGGAACATATCGAATTCCAATGATTTATGACTCAATATAGCACTACAGACGTAAACAGTTTGACCTAGAGTTTCAAACTTCCTGACAATTTCCTCTCACATGATCGGTTTCAGGTGTAGAAGGAAATGATAAGGCATGAACAGTTTCTAAATTATTAGGAACTAACAATTTTTCGGGAATAATTTCTTTATGATTGTCACAAATTAAAAGTAATTGAAAAAGCATTTAAAATTACCCAATGAACACTGAGAACAATGGATATCAGTTGATCCACTGAATATTAACTAAAGTCATGTTTGTCTAGTCCTTTTTAATGTATTGATTGAATTCTATCGATAAAGTTACAATGTGGCTACTAGTAATTAAGTAACTTGATATCATGTGCACTGTGTTTTGATCTTAAATAGTTGGAAGTTGTTAGGAAATCCTGAATGTAAGTTTCATGCTAACTAGCATTTATCAGCAAGGTTTACTATGCATTCTTGAAGCAATTAATTTCCTACCTTTGGGATTCGAGCATGCATCATAGTTTATTATGTTACCACTGTGCCAGCCATCCGACTTATGATGGACCACCTTTATGACTAAGTTAGTTCTACTGATTAATCACTGAGTAGTACTCACTGTAATGTTTTTGTAGTAGTCGATGTTAACACTGTACAGTGAAGCGTGTTCATTTGTGTTATATCAGCACCCTTCGCCTAAAAAGTTCGGCTCAAAACCGAGTTCACTAAATTGTTGTTGATAAATGATGTGCATAATCAATAAGGTAATTATTTAGTCTATCTATTTATCTCATTTATCAGATACGGAGTTGTATACCTAATGTTGTAAAATGTGACTTTTAAAAATAAAGAATACTTACGGGTTACCAATATTCGATCATAGGTGTCTTCAAAACATTCTCGTGTATTTTGGAACCAATGAGTAAGCAATGTCTGGGTTAGAGATAAGGTATTAGGTAAGGATATCAAATCAATTGGTGAAGTAGTAAATCCTCATCAGTTGAGGTGGTTGAGACATGTGCAACCACCATCTACCTTGACGGACGATGTTATCTGGTGTAGAAGTAGGTCCTAAGAATAATAGGGGCGGCCAAACTCAAGTGGGCGGAGTGGTGTTTGACCCTATGATCTAGTATCCAAAAGTTGAGTGCATTAATCACTGAACCACTACTCCCTATGTGACTGTCCCACACCACATGACCATTGCACCGTACACATTGTTGGTCAAATCTTAACAGAATACCTTCAAAGAGGGACTCAATATCATAGCTATTACGTAACAGTTCAGTTACAGCTGAAACTTATCCAATATTTCGTTTTTCATATCTGAACTATCAGTCAGTCAAACGTGTAACCTCTATTCATCTACATTTTTGTGTACAATTTTTCTAATAAAAAAAAACTGAATAAACCAAGTTTTTCTTTTCATTGTTGTAAATGTACACTGTTGAGGAGTAATACCCTTCTAAAACGAAATAGCTATCCAATACTTTCTCATTCTCAATAGTTGTCTAACTAAGATCAGTTCATAATTTGAAACTATACAAATTCTACAATCTTCATAATATTCCCCTTTATTATTATTATTATTATTATTATTATTATTATTATTATTATTATTATTATTAAAGGTTGTTTCCATCTTATACATCTAGAATAGATGTATAAAAACTGACAATATTTATTCATTATCTATCAATTGTGTTTAGTTTGACATGCAAAATTAGAATGATTTACCTATTTTTCTATTTCTATGTCTTTTTTTTCGCGCTACAAAAAAAATTAAAAAACAAACATTTGATTGGTTGATTGCAACTTCAAGGTCAACCTCATCATATGTTTATTATTATTATTGTTATCCTATCCATCAGATCACGTGAAAAAACCTTAAAATACTTTTAATCAACTAAATGTGATCAATGATCAAATTTATTTTTATTTTGACCTTAACCTATTTCTTCTTTATTTCATTTGAAATTTGATCGGACAGAAAAGTTTGTATCATGAATTAACTGTAATTAGAAAATGATTCAAAATTAAAATGTATTAGATAGCTGTTTCGTTTTAAGTTATGTTAGAGTGATTTAGATCGGATTAAAGCATATTCCTTATAGGGGATTGTGTTGGGTCACGTTGTTTGGTTATCCTCCTAACCAATCAACGCTGGCGGTAACTTGAAGAACATTCTAGAACTTTCTTGTGTAAAAAATCATAAATATGCTTATATCCAACTCTTTTATTTGGAATATAATTACATTCCTGTTAAACCATGTTGTGATTTGGGAACGCATCGAGTAAAGTAGCATTCAATAATACAAAGTAATAGGAATAGCTGGATCATAGTAAGAGGGATTATAACAGTATAGGACTCTTTATCAATACATATATATGACCCTATCATATATGATCGAAAGTAGGAGCTTTGGTCTTGTATGCAAGCGCCAAATGAATCTCGAGTAGGAAAAATTGTGACTGACAGAGTTCAATTATGTTAAGGTACAGCTAAACCAGTTATTGTTATTGGTAATAATTGATGATAGTTATGCTACTACTTGGTGAATTGATCAGAAAGTGGAAATATGAATCTCATTACACTCCAACTTAATTGTTTAAAAGTAGTAACTTATTTGTTGTACAACCTGAATTGTGGATATTAAGTTTTATTCCTGGCGAGTTAGTGTGCATCAGATACTAAAGTGTCCTTAACACGAAATAGGTGTTCAGTTTCCCCTTGGTTTCAATAGTTCCCTCAGCTAACGTTGTCAGTTCATCGTACAAACATTTGCATTAAACTAATCTTGACACCCTGTTCTAATAAATAATATCATAGGGTAAGTTTGTTATGTAAACCATAAATCTCGACAATCTTTGCAAACTCCTTACATGCTAATAATAGTCATGTGCTCGCTAGTGACTTATTTCGAGAGATAATTCCAGGATTTCTTGTGAGGTGTGAGATCAGTAGACTTCAACTCTGTAAGGTGATAAGATGCCCACTTATGTACGTTGGATCATGGTTGCGTTATGTCGTCAATTAAGTGAAGTTAGATAATACAAACATGTTCTTCGGTTCGTCCATCCGTTGAGGTTGTAGATGCTCACTGCTGAGGAATCCCATTCTGATACGAAACAGATGCTTCTTGGTTTCCAGTGGTTGTCTAATATCGGTTTATTATGTAAACTACAAAATATCACAAGTGTTCTTTCTGTCGTTTAAAGGAGACTGACTATGAACTAGTGGTCTGACTAATACAATAACTTGAGAGCTCACTGAAGCTAGAAAATTTGGTATGGTTCAGAACTAGTATTAAAACAAAGTTCACATACGTTGCACAGTCGATAAATATTCAGACATACTAGGCAGTCAGTTATTTTATTTCATTCTGAAGCTTCATTAATTACGGATAATGCTATGGAAGGTCACCCTTAAGATTATTAAAAACTATTTAATCTGATCAACTTTTAATAGCACCAATCATTTTTTATGATTATAATATGAGTAATTGTTACAAGTTTCAAGGAGAACTCAAATGTATTTTTCCTCACTAGTGCACATTTGTTCCAAGTTTCAAATTCCTTATAACGACTAACTAAACCTTTTTAGAATCAATCAATTGGTGTTGTATTTTTAGTGTAAGACACTTGAAATCATTATATTTCTCGTTAATTGTTTTGGTAAGCATTTATCATTAAAATTCGACCGTTTGATCCTTACCAGGATACATGACTATTATGGGGTTAATCTAATAAACACTATCATTTAACTCATATTGAAAAACGTCATGGTAGCCAGTTATCATTTACGTTGAGCCTAAGGCAGATGCCTGTTGGACTAATTTGCCATACCATATTATCTCGATATAATGAAGTTAAAAAGATGTATATTAAAAGAGATCAAATTAATTCAGTAGCGATGACAGTAAAAAGGTCTAAATATTGAGAATAGAATTCGGAAAGGCTGATTGGAAAGGATTACATAAATAAATTCAAAATCGAGACAAAGATAAGGAATGAATACATCCACGCCACTGTAGACAATTCTGAGCCATGTCATCCATTCTCCAACCACTGATCGCGATTACACACGGAGCCCAACCAGGTAATCCTCACATGCCAACATAGAACAAATTAACAGTCAATAACTTTATGGATTAATGTTATGTATTGGTTTACCCACTCGAAGTTTCTTTTCCAACCGACGACTACACCATGAAACTTTTCACTATCAAGACGAGGGATGATTAAGGATATGTAACTTATGTCCTGACTCTAACCTTACTCAGCGAAAATGTATAATCCCATCAATCGATTTGGTACTTTTCCCTAGTAACTCTATGCTTAACCTTAAGATTACTCACTCCGGTCATTCCTCAGAACGTGAGCAATACTTGAAAGACGTCTATGATCTAAAACCTGTAACGTATACATATCACGATAGCATGTGGGGATAATGTCTATGAGATCACTTTTGACATTTCACAAACTAAATTTTAAATTTATTGGAGTTCGCAATCTCCCGTTATTGATATTTCAAATTGTATTTAATCAATTCCTGCTTACATACGGACAATATCAATTTATCCGGTAGCCAACAGTGACTGCTTGATTTCCATCCTGAATATTATTAATAGGAAAAATACACACTCTTATGAATAATAATGAATATCATACATAATGAACAAGTTTTATACTCACTTTGATCAATAGTGGTTTTATGTAATAATACCCCAACATTTGAAGCAATAAGTACTGGGTTTTGTAAACGTCATCAACACTGAAGATTCAGGTGTATACCTAAAAAAAGGGGAAAAAACCCATTTTATTTCTAAAATACTTTTCGACCTTGTTAATAAAAATACTATCAGTATAGGGTTGTGGGAATTATTAAGTTTTTGATTGAGATCATGAACTGATTGATGTTAGATCATGCCATGACCAGTGGAGATAGGCATCTACCTCAGTACAATGGGATTTGGTCGCTCAATTTCGTGGATTGGTTGAGGCTAAACATTAACAGCATTGGATGCTGGTTCAGTGGTCTATAGAGGTTAAGCGTTCGCGCGCGAGACTGAAGGCCGTGGGTTCGAATCTCGCAAACAGGATCGTGGATGTGCACTACTGAGGAGTCTCATACTAGGACAAATCGGCCGTCCAGTGTTTTCAGGTTTTCAATGATGGTTTAACATATATCAATTCATGATCTCAATCAAAAACTTAATACAATATATTATTCAACATATTATTACATCATTCCTCATGATTTCATTTTTTCTCTCTTTCTTATTTTCAGGTTTGGTATAATATAAATGTCAACTTAAAAGTATCACAAGCTAAACGTCATTTCTGTAATTTATTCAATATTACTAATCAGCATGAAATTAAACATTTGAAATTATTTTATTTTGATCAAGTTATGTCACAAATTCAAGGTCCAGAAGAATTAAAATATCCAAATCGTAATTTATATTCATATCAAATAGAGACTGGTGATTTATTCGAATTAGTACGATATCCGGATCCTTGATAATAGAAAATAGAACTTTCACAAAAGTACAATATGATATGAATGTTTGTGTGTGTGTGTATGTATGTATGTAATTTTGTTAATCCTTTCTCTTTTTTTTGTGCAACATGCCTGTTTGTATAATAGTCGTTGATTTGTTTGTTTTCATTGTCATCGATTTCCCCTCCCCCCTCTGTCTCTCTCTTACTCGTCGGTTTCCCTCTTTCCCCCATTTGTCATATTTACTCCCCATTCACAATATAATAGTGTATATTCACCCGTTCATTCATTCATTTGATCTTATTAATTGTGAAATGGTGGTTTATTGGTTAAGGTGTTCCACCTTCAATCTTGTTCATTTTTATTCATTTCCATTGGAGCAGCTGAATAGTATCATCGTTATCATTATTTTGAATCCCTTTACCTATTGAATAAGGTTATCGGTTAAAGTTCTAAGTACTTGATTAGTGACTTATATTGTCTGTCTATGTCTATTTGTGAATGTATGTGTAAATATGTACTACATTATAATTGTTCTCTTATTACCTTTTATTTATTCATTCATACAAGATGTGATAGACTCCAAGTTTTTTCTTCTATTCTATTGATTAGTTAGTATTTTTGACAAATCAATCATGATCATTTTCGATCATTTTGCTTTTAAGGTACAATGTTATGCATCCATACTCAGTGTATGTGTATGTGTGTGTGCTCTTCTGGCAGTTTTGTGATTTATTTTCCTGTTTTCTTTTGTTTGTTTTTGAGTTTATCTTTCTTTTTTTCCGTGTTATTTATTTGTTTGTTTATTTCCATACATCTTAATTCCTTGATGAATATAAATAAAGCGCTAAGAACAAGACATCCCAAATAAAATGAATACATCATTATAATTCAAACTTTCTTTCTCATCAGCTGCAAACAACCTAAATTCTCATTGGTAATATCATTTTAAAGAGTTTCATATACCGCAATCAATGAAGTTTAGTTCGTTAGGTGATATAAATAATAAGAAAAGGAAACAACATGCTTAACATAATCGTAAAGTTTTCAGTATGGGGTTGTGGAAATTGTTGAATTTCCGTGAAATCATGAACTGATCTAAGTTACACCACCACTGAAGACTTAAAAGCACTGGAAAGCCGTTAGAAAAGGTCGACCCTAAAAATGTCACACCTCACGGATTTCCGTCTCAGGCGGTAAGGCCTTTTGAGTGACGGAGTTAACATGTTAAAAACTTCCCACAAAAAGGTCGTGCGTAACCGGCCTCAAGCAGTTGACCCTTGAATTCTGGTCACGCTCCCACGTCGTTATGACCAACATTAATCCGACTTCCTTTTCGTGTTTCTCAAGAAATGCCTTTACACGGTGTGGGCAGCTGGAAAGTGACATCAGCCCTCATACCCGTAACAGCACCCGAGGCCAAGTCGGCCACATTCAAATCCCTTCTACACCTCCAAATAAATCTCTTATCTCCACGACTAACCCTTCTCACGTTACTTTATCACCTTGCGCCGCTAATGCAAACGATTCGAGTATGTGAAACGTTATTCACGGTCTCCTGAAACCACGTTCTAGACTACATGTGCCAGCTTTTAACACCCGAACACTGTGCCGAATAAGACAACAAGCTTCCTTAGCTAGAACTTTAGAATCTCGCACCATTGGTGTGTGCTGCGTCTCCGAAACGCGCATACAGGATCGGAGTAGCGTCATTCATTTGACCTCACCATATCAAAATAACCATGTGGATTCACGCTTCGTGTATCTGGAAGCCCTGATGCTGCTTCCCGTGGCCTCTCTGGTGTAGGTATAGCATTGAGTTTTAGGGCATAACTAGTTGTCTTAGACTAGATTACAGTAGATAGTCGCTTATGCGCTGTCCGACTAAACATAAGAGTACGGAAAGATAGGGATACTCGTCGTTGCCTTTTCGTCGTCTCTGCCTATTCTCCCACTGACTGCAGCTCAGATGATGTAAAAGATGAGTTTTACAGAAAGCTTTCCGACCTCTTTCATAAAGTTAGCCTCTCTGATGTATTAATAGTGGCTGGTGACTTTAATGCTCAAGTAGGTAAACTAAGCGATAGGGAAAGACACCTAGGTGGATCTTATGGTGTCGTGGCTCAAATAACAGATAATGGTGACCATCTGTTGCAGCTTTGCTCAGATAACCGCCTGTTTCTTGCAAATACTAAATTTAAGCATAAGGAAAAACATCTTTTAACATGGCGACCCCCTAATTCGTCCTAACGTTGGACTCAAATAGATCACATCGCTATCAGCCACCGATGGAGGGATTCGATGAAAGACTGTCACTCGTTATTGAGCACATGCTTAGATTCAGATCATCTCCTAGTACGAGCGCGTATTTGTCTAGGTCTTACTGGATGTAGGAAAGACGCTGCAAGGAAACTTCTCATGGTCCTACTTAATTATAGCCAAGCTAAGAATACATTTCAGGAACAACTAGAAAAACAGTTAGGTAGCCATGTAAGTAATCCCCACCCCGAGGCAGCATGGAATGATATCTGAAAAGCTGTGGGAACAGCAGTGATATCTGCTAGTAAGTTAAACCATAGGGTTATGCAGAAACACTGGATCTCAGCAGCATCTATCGCACTGATAGATGCTCGAAAACTCATTACATCTGGATCTGAACATAACGAAGAGCGGAGTCAGCTTAAGCGCAAGCTGACAAGAAGTCTACGCAATGATCGCGAGCAGTGGTGGGTAGCGAAAGCAAGAGAGATGGAAAAGGCAGCGGCAATAGGTAATAGCAGACAATTGTTCAGACTTGTTAAGGAAACCTGTTTTAGGAACCCAACTGTTAGCAAAAATATCTCGGAATTAGATGGACATATTATTCATTCTCAATACAGGAGATAGGATCGATGGACAGAACACTTTAGGTATCAGTTCAACTGACCTGCAGTCACACTTCGGTTGCCCACGATCTCCAGTCGACCTGAATGACAAATTGATGTAAGTCCTCCAAATTTTTACGAAGTTGAAATGCTGTAGGAAATCTGAAGCGAGGGAGAGCAGCAGGCCCTGGCAAGTTTACCGCTGAGATTTTTAAGGATGGTGGTCCAGTATTAGCGATGAGATTGATAGAGGTTTTAGGCAGAATCTTGGAACTGGACGTAATGACATCTGAGTGGTCCCAATCCTTAAACTGTGCCATTCTATAAGAAAGGACGAAAGTCCTCTTGTGACAATCGCAGAGGAATCAGTTTGACTAATATTGTCCAAAATAGTAGCTTAAATAATACTTCGACGCCTAACTAAAGCTCGTGAAAAGCAGACAAGAGAAAACCAGGTTGGTTTCCGATCTGGACGTGGCTGTATGGACCAGATATTCACACTACCTTAGGTCCTAGTACATAGACATACATTCATAAGTCCCACAGTAGCAATATTTCTCGACCTTAAAGTGGCATTTGACTCTTTTGATCATGAGGTTCTGTGGCAGTGTTTGTCACTGGAAGGAGTACCAAAGAAGTATATTAACCTTATGAAGGCTGTCTACTCGAATACCACTGGCCCCTCGGAATGCAAAATGTTGTCTCAGAAATGGGTTGCATCGGACCCTGAACGACTAATAGGGGGTGAAGTAGTTGAGCGTACCAACCACTTCACTTATCTTGGGAGTCTCATCAGCCTTTGCGGTCTGGTGTGTGATGAAATGTCAGTACGGATACAGAAGTCTCGACTAGTTTTTGCCAACTTGTGTCGGCGAGATCTCCGTCTTCCAACCAAAAGACGGGTTTACTGCGAAGCAGGTACGCCGTAGTGTCGAAAAAGCCTCTATAGTGTGGGGCAAAAACTTGGAGAATTACGAAAGCCATCATCCAGAAGATACAAGTATCTATTAACGGCTGTCTACGCAAAATACTTCGGATCGGTTGGTCAGACACTATCAGCAACAACCTACTGTGAGAGAGAACAAACCAGATTGCAGCCGAGGAAGAAATCAGGAAGAAACGCTGAGAGTGGATAGGACACACATTGAGGAAAGCACCCGACTGTATCGCAAGATAAGCCCTCACATGGTATCTTCAAGGCCAAAGGAGGAGAGGAAGATGAAAGAACACATTACGCCGAGAAATGGAGACAGACACGAGAAGAATGAACAACAATTGGATGGAACTAGAAAGGAAGGCCCAGAATAGAGTTGGTTGGAGAATGGTGGTCGGCGATCTATGCTCAACCACCGACTACCCCGACGTGCAATGTAGGAGTAGGATGGAAGAAAGCTAGAGACGGCCAGACCAAAACATGGCACAAATCTATGAAGTCACTGACAGGTGGATTGAACTATGTTGGTAGGTGTAGGACTGTCTGATTGGGATCCGCGAGACGATAGCAACCGTTGGTTAGAGACCTTGAATGTGACATGGCTCAAAATCGTTTTTAATGACGTAGGTGCATCCACTCTTTGTGTTCTCCCAAATTCTAATCTTCTGAACTCTGCATGTCCCTTTCTTTTTTCTCTTTCCAAATTTATTTCACTCAATTATGCTCCTTGAATAACATCTTCAATCCCTAATCTTTCCGATTACTACTTATACTCTTACTAACTCTACCACTACGGGATTTGAATCAACCACTGCATCTCTGTTGTGCTAATGTGGTATGGTAACTTGATCTAATGTACATACGTACGAAGTTTTATATTGTTGCTGACTGACTAACTGACTGTTAAATACATTTATATAGAGACACCTCAAATGTTATTCTAAACTTAACTAATTATAATGTAGCGGTAAATAAATCCGCAAAATAAATAGCTCTGTAAGTTATCGACATTGGATGCTGACCACATTAGTTTTAATGGACTCACCTAGCTGAAGGCGCTCGGTCATGCATCCGCACGAGATCACGAGTGGTAACTCCGTACTCAACAACTCTTGCAATTGCTAGCCAGATTAGATCAGTCGATCCTTGTTATATTGATAGCCTATCAAATATATCTTCGAACCTCCTCGCTTCTGTCTTTTGAGTTCACTTGGTGGTGGGTACGATCCATATTAGAAGGTGTTACTGGTTAAAGCGTTGTCAAAACTCCGAATACCTGTGGCATCTTCAATAAACTTATAAATACTGGAAGTTTTGTTTAAAATGTTCTTTTTTTTAAAAAAGTTTTATCGGAATGGGTTTTGTGGAGATTTTCAGAAATTTCACAAGTTTAAATCATGAGTCAATTGAAACTAGACCATCATGGAAAACCTGGAAGCACTGGACGGCCGTTTCGTCCTGGTATGGGACTCCTCAGCAGTATTGGTTGAAGTTAAACATTAACACCGTTGGATACCGGCTCAGTGGTCTAATGGTTAAAGTCCTGAGTTCGAATCCCGTGAGGTGCGTGGTCGTGGATGAGCATTGCTGAGGAGTCCCATGCCAGGACGGAACGGCCGTCCAATGCTTCCAAGTTTTCCATGGTGGTCTAGCTTCAATTGATTCATGATTTCAACTTGTGAAAAAAGTTTTCATTTTACAAAAACAAACATTGCCGTTGTCATATCAACCATCTTTTATGATATGTGAATAATAAATATCTACTTATGATGATCATATTTCCATTTCCATAATTCAATAAATAAAGCGTGAATATTAATTATCATAGTGTTATAGACTAGTTTTATTTCATTCAATTAGCAGTGTGTGTATGTGTATGTGTGTGTGTGTGTGTTTGACTGTATCCATGTTGTGGTTGTCTACTCTTTTCTTTTCTTTAAAAATCGTTTAATCATTATTGCCTTTATATATTAAATTGTGAATGGAATATTTTTTTTTAGTTGAATAATTAGTCATTCAAGTGTAACCCCAATTGGCTAATAAAGTAAACTACGCCCGTATATGTTTATATATCCATAGATGAGTCATGC